CAGGGGTCCCTTACCTTTAATAACACAGTAGTGGTTACAATAACCAAATTTAATGGAAACAGCTGAGGGATGGGAGGGGCCACATGGAAGCTGAACCAAAGCTGATGGAGTGAGCGCTGACTCCCAGTTCCTGTCTGCATGCAGGTGGAATAGCAGCTAAAAGATGATAGTTAAAGGACAGGAGCCAATTGAGTTAGCAGCTCTGGGGCATCTCTCCTTCTGCTGCAGCCTGGGGGAAGAGCTGCTACTGGAAGATCACTCAGAGAGAGGAGGAGCCCATTGGCAGCCGAGCCAAAGCAGTTGCCTCATCCCTTGAGGGTGTCCAAAATGAATAGAATTGGCACTAATTATTTTGCTTTATCATTATTCAACCCACTCCCCAAACCTATACATGCCAACTCACACACCCAAGAATAACAACATCTTGTTTAAAATACATTGCTTAAGAAGAAATTCATGTGATTTCTCAGAAAGATGCCGCGTGCCGGGGAGAAGACTTCATGCCCTGGGACCTTCATGCCCAGGGAATTTTGTTGGTTGTTGATGGCCTCCACCTGTCTCAAGAGGCAATGGAGGGCCCCTCTGGGAGTACTGGAGAATCACAGCGCCTTCTGTGGCTGCAGAGACCTAACTGCTGCCTCCCACATTGTTTTTGCTGTGTTAGGAGCACAAGCCTAGGCAGTGTGCATGGAGGTCTTGGGCTGCCTAGAGAACCAGACCACCCCCCTTTGCTATGTGGTTCAAAGGAAAGCAGAGCAATGCATTTTGGCATCATTATTCCAGGGCTAGGCATGATGCAGTTCTTAATGTTTAAAGTTGTTCTATCCAGCTTTCTTTTGGGCAGCCCACAGCAGCAGCTTACATGGGGCAGCCATAGGGTCAGGCTGCCCATGAGGCAGACTCAGGCAGTGGCTTCAGGCAGAGGAACACAAAGATTTGGGGGCTCTGCCACCTCCAGCACCGGTGGAGAAACAGCAGCAGTGGCCTCCACCGACATTTCACCATAATCTTGTGAGATCTCATACACTACATGAGATCTTGCTGGAACTTGCAGGTCCCACCACTTTGCAGGCACTGCTGCACAACCCAGGTAAGGAAGGCTTTGGCGTGGGGGGCAGGGGGCTTTGGAATTCCACCTCCAGTGGCAAAATGGGCTGTGTCGCCCCTGGGCAGGCAGGATGGAATAGATGGCGATATACTTAGCTTTAGCAATATAGCAATCATAGTCTTCTAATTGCATTAGAAGGTGAAGTTTGGGTTGGCTTTGTTCAGTCAACAGTGGCCAATGTATCCTGCCGCCTCTACTGCTTTCAGTGATCATGGACGTTTTATATTTTTAACTTTTAATGTGGAAAACGAAAAAGTGTTCAAAGGCCAAACTCTTTTATGTGTATGTTCTCCATATTCCTTCAGGGAAAACTTTGTCTGAATAAAAATCAACTAAGGATGTCAGTTTCCAAGAGTAAAAGTAAGTTAAACATCAATAGAAAATGTAATTACAGCTACTCTAAATTTTGGCAACCTCACTAGAATGACCACGATTGGGCGGGGGGATGAATTTTTTTAAAAATCAGTCTTCTTTCCCCAATACAGAGATTGAACTTGCTAGCAAAACTGTGGGGGTGTTACCAAAACATACACCTAGGGTTGCCATATTTCAAAAAGTAAAATTCCTGATACCCACCAAAATTGTTAAGCTTTTTTGGGGGGATTTTGCTTTTTTGGGGGGATTTTAAGCTTTTTGATTTTAAGCTTTTTGAGCTGTTTCCACTGCTTTTCCATCGCGTTGCCATACATCCGGGTTTTCCCTGACATTTTGCCAATTCGGCAAAATTCCCTGATGCCATTTTTACACCCGAAAACAAGGACATGTCAGGAATTTTCCTGATGTATGCCAAGCCTACATACAGCACATTCTCTCCTAAAGAGCCAAATGACTTTATTTGTACGTTTCATGTAATTTTTTTGTTTTGCCTTGTCCCCCACCTTTTATTATTAACATGTGGCCTTTTGCAGTGATGACTGTAATATAAGTAAGAGGCAAACTTAATAATAGGTCAAAAACAACATTAAAAAATCACATGTGGCAGCAGAGATACAGGCAAGAGTGTTAAATTGTACACAGGTCAATTATAAGTACTAGTGATGATGAAACGAACAGGAGGGAGAGATCCAAAGGGAGGCAAAACTGTATTCAGCAGGAGATAACTTCATGTGGGTGGAGAATAACTGCAAAAATGCATTTTGATTAGGGGATAAAACTCAGCCTTTTGAATTTATTCTTACCAGCTTGAATAAATAAAAACATAATGTGTGAGCTACTTCCCCTTACAGTTAATGCAGCACAGATATGTACTTTGCTTTTTGTTTGTTTTTAAAATCTTTTTAAAAAACTTTCATATTCTTTTTCTTCTAGATTTTCAGCACTATATCAAGCCTGCAAACTTGTGACCCACCAAGTTAAGCATGGCTCGCAAACTATGTGTGATGGCCTGACGAGTTGCCTGGGATTGCAGACACAGTTGTCAGGCACAATGCACAACTAGCAGGCTGTATTTGGCTTGGTAAATCATAATGTATGCAGACCTAGTTTAGGATTGCAGCTCTAAAAACGGGTCTAGCTCACTCCTATCACGCTTTTCTGGGTCCCGTTGAAGATGGGGACTCATTTCCAAGTAAACATGCACACAGTTGTGCTGTACATTTCCTTTCTCCTCGGTTCCCCACCTCTTTCCAGCCCCTCTCCAGATTTAACACTTCCATTTACTTTGTCCTGTCATGGAGTAGTTTCAAGGCATTTGCTTTCGCATTCTTCTACCTCAGATTTCCAGAATTCCTAAAGTTTGCTTTATACACTCAATTTCCTCAGACTATAGCTTTCAGTTTCTGTCACATATTCATGAAACTAATCATATGCAAGCATATAAAGAAAGATAGTAAATGTATTAACAAGTATTACCATGAGGGAGTCTTTCCATTATTCTCATATGATTGCATGCTTTTTTAAAAATAATAATAATGCTGTTTTCCTTTCCCCAAAAGATATCCTGCTGCTACCTGTAATTTAATCTGAAAAAATCATTCACATTTGAAACTGTTCTGCACTTTAAGAACTCAAGGAAGGGCTTTCGGTGGAAATTGTACTTCAGTGCACATTCCAGTGTGCATTTGGCTGAACGGAAATGCTTATATCAAGAAAAACCCTTTTCCTTGTCCTTACTTATCTTAAAATGCAGAAGACGATACTGTCCAACTGTCCAGTTTCAAATATCCTTCCAACTGAAAATAGAGGGATACAGTGATAGCAGGAACCAAGTTTTTATGTCATTAGCACGAGGGGTTTGATGAGTATGGTCATACCAGAGCATGGATTGTCTAAAGAGGTAAACACCACAATGAATAATGGAAAGTTTCAGCAAGAGAAAACTGCATAAGCAGATTACAAAATTTATTATGAAATTTATCTGATTATTGGGAAGACTGGTTGCCTAGAATATCAGGTGCAGTCAAGCCACAAAAGACATCCAAAGTGAAATGTGGGCCGGGAGGGAGGGAATCATCTGTCTGTGCTCTAAGTATGAAGAGAATTGAGAAACAAGACTTTTTTTATCCTGCTGTTATCTCTCCTCATACATGTTTTGCAATCCTTTTTATCCCTGTAAACACCAGCAAAGTCTGTGAAAAATTGTAGTGGGATGATGATGGCAGTGGTACACATTTACAAGTGTTAAAAACTTTTATCAGCTTTTCTGGATAAAATAATCAAAATTTTAATTTGAGTTTTACATATCAATCAATGCAGTCTTAGTTTCCCCTATCTGATATTACATTTGCTCTAATGTCTGGTGTTGCAACTAAAAAGGAAGACTATTAGCAGGGGTAGAATTATCACAGGAACATTTATTCTAAAATAGAAGCAGTCTCTCAAACTGTGTCTCAAAATCTGTGTTAAAAACAGGAATAATATTTGTTTATATCTCAAATTTTTGTTCGGAATAAATAAACTCACCAGCTTCCCATACTTACTGTGGAGACGTTGCTAACAGATAATATCTGAATTTTAGAATCCTTTTGATGCAATGCAAACAGAGAGAAGTTGTTGATCACAAAGGCTGGGTCAGGAATGAGTTTTACTCCTGTTAACTCAAATGCTTAACCATAGGATGTAACTGCCATGAGTTTATCTATATCTGTTCATGCTGTCACAAGGACCAATTTCTCCCTATTTGTACTGAAGCAACAGGATCCTAAAATTCATATATAGGTTACTCATATGGCCACAACGCTGTATCTTACAGCACAATTTAAAGCATGTCCACTCGCTATGTGCATCCAGGGAAATCTACCTTAGTATTCCACAAAAGCTTATGCTATAATAAATTTGTTTGCCTTCAGGTGGAATGGAAGTAAGCTTTTTTCCTGTTGGTCCCATACAAATAAAATATTGCACACATATCCTTAGTTAGTATGATACAATTACACAGTAAATATTCAAATCTTTCCCCTTCTGTTCTTTGCTTATACCATATTTTATGCAGGAGTTAAATCAATACACTCAAAATAGAGTACATCTGTTAAGATGAGGGCCACCTTTGCCTTCGCAGGAACTTCAAGTCCTCTTCAGCCATCAGTTTATCACAGCCTGGGCTTCTTTATATCAGCGACATTGGAGACGAAATCTTACGCATAAACATCCAATGAACCAAAAAGTTCTTTGCAGCCTGTGAAAATCTCAGCTTCTTGAGGGTGCAAATTTCCTGCAATGGTGAGGAAGAAAATCAACCTTCTGCGTTTTTCTCCGCCACCGTGCCACCCCCGCCGCAACTTTCTTCTGACAAATTTCCCCATTGCTTACCTGAGAAGTGGGCCCTCCCTGCTCCCGCATCTTCGCCTTCCTCCTGTGCTCTTTCCCGGTGCAAGAGAACTTTCTGGCGGATCCGGCCTTCACTTTCTTTCCAGGAATCTTCCAAAAGTTTGCAAGCCATACAGAAGTGGGGTGTGGGTGTGTGATGCTCTCTACTGCTGATCTTCAAATTAATTGAACAAAGCAGAAAAGAAATCATCAGTACACCTGCGGGGACACTGGAGGGCGCTAAAACAAAAAGCAAGTATACATTAAAACAAAACAAAAAACTCACCCAAAACCAAGCAGGCACTCTTGCAAACCTGCAGGAGAGCCCAAGAATCTGAGCCTCCTGGTAACAGCACGTATTTACTGTTTCTCAAAGGAAAGTAAAATGGCTGTAAAACTTCTTTTTACAAATAGTTGTGCAGCTGAAGGTAGGGCTAGGACACGGTACTGCCACTGAAAGGAGCACCGCAGATTCTCCTTTCTCCCATACATAATATGAAACATCTGATGCGACTTTCGGGCAGGGCACTCCTCTTCATTGGCTGCCTCTTTTGGGGGTGGGGAGAGATTCTCAGCGCAACAGCACCATGTCATATGTTTTGTATTGCTGCACAATAAGGCTGCTGTTTTTGGTGACAGCCAGGAGCCTTTCAGAAGGTTCAGTTGTGGCCTGCAGAAGAAGCTAAGTGGGGCTGCATTAATAGCGCTTCTAAGATGCATCGCATTGATAGGATTGCAGGCGTTTTATAAAATGCACAAGGAAATGTTCTCGGCTGGCTGCTATGTGCTTTATAGTCTCAAGAACAGAAAGCAAAACAAACATGTCTTCATGCATGTATATTAACAATAACGTTTCTTATTAGGAAGAATATACATGATGGAGACAGTAAGAAATGCCTTTTGCGTCTTTAAAATGATGTTTATTTTAGATTCTTCTGTTACTGGTCATTTGGCTTTATTCTCAGAAGTATGCTATTTCATGTAAAATATTGGAAGAGGACTGTGAGAGGCTTTTGGCAGACTGTAGTTATACAGCCCCTAGGAAAATACAATCATCTTTGGTGGATATATAATGAGGTGGTTTCTTATTACATAATCGAGGAGACAATGTCTTTTATATGCATTTTGCTTCACTTTTCACACTAAATTTATCATAATAAGCATCTGCTTTGAATAAAGAGAGTTTTGTGATAATTCAACCATGACCTCTCTGGAAGCACAAATGATTTTGCTTCACTTTCTCAGACTGGATTATTCTTTTGAAATGTTCCCCCTTTACTTTATGATAATCACTGTGTTAACATGAACTGATTAATCCCATCAGCCAAACATTGATATTATGGCTCAAATGGACTTTCTTCAGAAAGCCTCTGGCGATGACACCACTGGTTTCATCACTGCAGCTAAAGAAATTCAGGGGTGTTTACACTGTCAGTCAGTTTGAAGGCTGAGCAGAAAACCATACGAAATAATATATGTGACATTCCTTTTCCTAATACATAAATGGGGAAGCCATTACCAAGAATGGGTTCCACATGGAACTGGACAAAAAAGTGCCTCAAAGCAGTGAGCCTGTGGAAGTGTTAGGCTGAAATCATGGGAAGCGAATCCCATTAAACTCAGTAGGACTTTTCTTTGAATAGAGTTGCTTTTAAAACTTCTTATTACTTTAGTTCATGATGAATTGTTGACTTAAAGTCCAAGACTATCCCAATATGTTTTGGCAACTAAGACAGAAATTGAACTAGTTTCCTCTCTTTTACTAAAGAGCATCCCAAGGTAAAGGAACTTGCAATCTGTATATAACACTTCCAAATATTTTCATTGTTCTTTTTATAGTCTTACTTCAAACTTTTAGAAGCAGCCTTCTCAAACTTCCTATCTTTCCATTCATAAACAGAAGAAAATGAAAAGGAAATATATGACCCACGGCAATGAAGACACATTTCAGGGATTGTGACACAAAGCCCCTCAGCCTCTTATTAGCAAACCAAACACCGCCTTTGTTTTTTGTGCTGATGTTGGTTTTCACTGCTGTTTGAACGACCTTTTATTGTCTCTCTATTGTCGTGTAGCTGCCCTGCTCTCCTGCATTTAAGGCCACAACTGTTAGCTAGGCTTCCCAAACGTTGCCCATGAAGTTTCTGCCACTGCTTAAATCAAACATTTTCCAAAGAGAAGGAATGTGTTGCCATGCTTCTCGTTCTGATCCAAACAACCCATGTTAAGCCACGACTATAGACTTACGCTACAAGATCCAAGAGAGTTCGCTCTGACTGGGTTGATTAAAAGGCAAAGAGCAAGATGGATGGAGTCAGTTGTGATCCGCAGGCTTCAGCATCCCGCTGAGAGCCAGTCTCTGTCATTGTGCAGGCCTCTGGGTACCAGACTCGCCAGGGTCTTCTCAGCTCTAAAAGGAAAGTGGGCTTTGTTTGCCTTTAAGCATCTGCAAACTCTACTGACACATGATCTGCCCTCTCAGCAAGACCACTCATTAGACTGATTATCACTTCAAAGTTTTCATTATCATTCATCTCTAAAGGCAATTAGGAATGGGTGGCTTTGAGTATCAGACGCTAGGTGACACTATGTGACTCATCTTTATTGATTCTTTTGTGGCAAAAGACAGTGATTGAGATGATAGGATTGCAGCCTACCTGCCCCTTTGACTGGTAAAAGCTGAAGGAAAAAATGGTGTATAATTAACTGACAGTTAATATAGGTTCTGTTTAGTGTTCCAGGAACACAATAGGGCAGGTTGCCCAAAAGGAACAAAGTAATGAAAACTCCTTTGACAAGTTAAACTCTAAAGCCAACTGTGTAATTATCTGACAGTTTTAAAAGACAGGGGCTAAAGAAGGCTGTCTTTCGTATTAATGAGACCCAAAGAATTCCTGGGTGTGGATAATAAGGAGTCACAAACAATAACAAGAACAGTTAAAGGGTGTGTGTGTGTTTCTCTAAGCGCGTAGTTTAGGGACCATTTTCCTAAGAGGATGTTTGAAAAGAGAATGTAAATGCGATTGAGAAATGAATTTAAATTATTTTTGGGACTCTGTTCTAACCTTGTTTAAGTAGTTATACCTTTAGATACAGCATCATCATGATCCTACCAGACAGACAGGTTTTATCAGTTCTAGGTTACAGGCAAAACAGTCACAAACCGAGACATTTCTGTTCCCTTAAAAATTTCTAGCATCACAACAACAAACACCTAAAAGTCAAGCCCAAGTACAAATGAGATACCTTTGCAAGAGCAAAGGACTGATCCTGCAGTTCACAAGGCCTAAGGAGACTTTATCTAACTTACAAGTTTTTGCACAACCACTTTGTGAGATAGAAACATTTTCTCCGACGTGACTTACCATGTGAGATTGTCACACTATAGACGTGCAGTGGTCGGTCCAAGCACAGACAAAACTTAAGGTTTCAATGACATTACTATCAGGCTTAACAGCAGGCGCAAAAGGCAACCAACTTTAAAAGCCATGCCTTTTTTCTTCCATATGGCATCGTAACTAGATTTATTATTATTAATTACCTGCCCTTTACCAGCGCAGATCCCAGAGTGGATTGCAACTATTAAAATTCAGTACTAAAAAGAGTTTAAACAAATTACACTCACAGAAAATGGACAGGTCTTGAAAATACACATTTCAGGGTAATGTGTGTCCAGGGTAAAAGAGATGCATCTTCAGCACTTACCAAAATCTGTATGGTGAAGGCACCAGATGCTCCAGGGTCCTCAATTTATGGAATCCTACCCTAGCTGTTGTTTCCCCCCAATAGCTTACCCTTACCTTGGCTGCTTCTGTAGGAGGATTCTACCAGCTGAAGAAGTTAGGGTTCTGCCTAAGTGCAGAACCTTACATTTGCTGCTATTGAAATTCATTTTGTTAGTTTGGGCCCAGTTCTCCAACCTGTTAAGGTCATCTTGAATCCTGATTCTGCCTTCTGCAGCATTAGCTACCCCTCCCAGATTGGTGTCACAGTGCACACACACCATTTGAATAGCAATGGTCATCAAGGGGGGGGGCAGCCCCCTCAAATATTTTATTGGGGAGGGTGAAGAGACCCCTCAGCCTCTAGGTCCAGGAGTTGGTTCCTATGAAAAGGAGCACAGGCTTCGTAGGGAATGGTTTTGCTCACTGATTCCCAACTTAATTCCATAGTTTCACTCATGGATAGAAAACTCTTCAGAGTAGCTCAACACATTTTGGAGTAGAACGCGCCTTCAGGTGCTTGAATTGTAATGGTAATATCATCTTAAAGGTAAAGGTAAAGGACCCCTGACAGGTGCAGTTGCGGACGACTCTGGGGTTGCGGCGCTCACCTCACTTTACTGGCCGAGGGAGCCAGCATTTGTCCGCAGACAGTTTTTCCGGGTCATGTGGCCAGCATGACTAAGCCGCTTCTGGCGAAACCAGAGCAGTGCATGGAAACGCCATTTTCCTTCTCTCCAGACGGGTACCTTTTTATCTACTTGCACTTTGATGTGCTTTCAAACTGCTAGGTTGGCAGGAGCAGGGACAGAGCAATGGGAGCTCACCCTGTTGCTGGGATTCAAACTGCAGACCTTCCAATCGGCAAGCTCAAGGCTCTATGGTTTACACCACAGCGTTAATAAACAATTCTTCTACAACCTTTTCAAGCTGGTTCTTGAGTTGCTTATATTTTAAGAACAAGGCATTTTTAATTTTAAGAATTTCTGAAGCTCCTGAAGAAGGGGTATTGTTTTATTCCAAAGCACTTTGACCTGCTTGTGAAGAGTTTTGCATCAAGGAATACTGGAACTGTTATAGTTATTGTATTTGAGGTGTCTCTCCCCACCCCCACCCCTTTATTTTATTTTATTTATTTCCTTATGCTCAATTCACATAACATTTTTTTTTTTTGGATGTGTAAGTAATTGAAATGAGCAAATAATCTGATGCTCTGCAAAATTACCATGCAACAAATGCTTTGGTAATGAATCTCCTGACATCACCAGGATGCACAGCAGTGAGTTCTGCTGCTGCTTTCCCCAGCTGTCTTTTGCGTCTTAATCTGAGCTAAACAAATTATAGGTAAAAGGCTTTAATTGGAGTGTTGTTCACTGAGGCACTCAACACTGGATCAATTAACGAACAAGATAAGTATAGTAAACAAAGATAACATTTTGTTTAGATGGGATGTTGCCGATTACAGACTCTCCAGAAACAGCCTGCACAGGATTACAATTAAATAGCATTATCTTTCAAAGTGACCGGTACATTTTGTTTACCTGTTAGGCCTGCTTATAAATCCTCACTGACAGATGCTGATGTTCTTTTATTTTAAAATGGACCAACTTGTGCTTCCTCCCTCCTTTGACACAGTGCCCATCATGACTTTGAAGATGCAAAGAGTGAAAGTAGAAGATTTGTAGGCAGACTTTAAATCCACTGGTGGAAAAGGGAAAAATACCTGGGCTAGCTTAAGACCAAAGACTCACCTACGGTAATTCAGCATCCCTTTCCGTGGTGGCCAAACCCTTCTGCTCTTGCTTGCTCACAGCAACTAGCGGGTTTTACATAGCCATTAGGACGACATAGTCTCTAGTTTACACAAATTTAAGGAGGATAAAGCTATCTCCACATCTTGTGGGAGCAAATTCCTCAGACTAAGTATGCACTGTGTGAAGTGCTTTATTTTATCTGTTCCAAATCACCAGTAATCTCTTCTGCATCCTAAATCATCCCCACCACCACTGACTCCAAACTCTTATTCACAAAATTGACTTTTTGATCTCAAGATAACCAGATGACATTGCTTGAATCACTTTATGGCTTCCCAGCGGCTTGTGCCTTCTGTCTTCTGAAGCATTATCTTGGTTTTTCCTATAGTTAATTAATTAACATAGGAAGGTTTCCCCCCTTACTCTCTCCCATCAGAGTTTTTGCCTGCTTCAGAAATATGTGTTTAAAATGAATACTTCCTTTCATCAAAATTAATTCTGCTTTTGGTCATGTATTTCTGTTCAAAGCAAGAATGCTGGATAAATAGGAATGCAACTTGCAACACCAGCACTGATTTCTCAGATGACCTTATCAAATACTCTCAGCCCCTCTTCTGCACCAAGAGAAAGAGCTGAACTTGTTTCATTTGCTGGAGCCACCCAAAGCTTATATACAGGTAAATTAAATCCAAATAGATTCCTACTTAGGGTGCTTTCTGATCTAAGAGAACGCAGCATGTTTTAGCTATACTGACTATACAGCTATACAGACCAGGGGCACTGTTGAGGGGGTGCCCTGGATCTTTCACAGTGGACCCTAAATCACCTGACCTTTCCGCCCTTTTACTTTAAACTTTTTAAAAGTTTTGCTTATAATAAGGTTACCAGATGTCCCCGTTTCCCGGGGACAGCCCCCAGATTTACAAATCAGTCCCCTGACAAAATCCATCTATTTAGTAGGAAGTTGAAAAGTGTCCCCGGATTCATTGAAAAAAATCTGGCAACCTTAGCTTATAAGGCAGCTGTGCCCACTGCAAAGTACAGTGCTAGCTGTAGACTAGGCCTCCTGTGCTGACAACATTCGTGAATCAATTGCTCTTAAGGTCACAGATACATAGCTGGCATATTGTCTGGTTTGGCCCTGACAGACAGCTTTTGACATCTGAGATGTACTGGTATGTTTTTGAAGACACAACACATTCCTGTGACTGTGCTTTGTTTTAACTGTTTTTAACACTGAACAGTTTTATAACTGCTTTAGTGTTACTGTAGAATGTCTTCCTTTTATTCATTTTTGGAAACAAAAATATAAATATTTGATGATGATGATGATGATGATGATTAATACCCTGCCCATCTGGGTAGCTTCCAGCAAAGTATTTAAATACAATAATTCATCAAATATGAAAAGCTTCCCTAAACAGGGCTTCCTTCAGATGTCTTCTAAAAGTCAGATAGTTGTTTATATCTTTGACATCTGATGGGAGGGCATTCCACTTTTCAATCTGGTAAATTGGTTTCCATTTTTTCAGTTTTGTAATAAGTAATAATATCTTTGGCCATGTGGGATTTGACAAACTCAGCTCTGAAAATAGCATGATGATTGAAGTCTGCTAGTGTGTACAAATATACTTTTAATTAAAATGATTGATGGCTCTTGAATGTGGAAGGAAAATCTAGCCAACCCATATTCCCCCCCCCCAAATGGACTGTGTTAGTTATTTATTTAAATGTTTAAACCATCCTATAGTACAAATGGAGTCATCTTCAAATTGGTTCAAAGTGTTTACAGCTATTGGAAACTTCACTGGTGGCAGGAGGGCTTTTTATGGAGCCAGGGCCGGCCCACTCATTAGGCGGAGTGAAGTAGCCCGCCTCAGGTGGTGGAATCCCACAGGGCAGTGCCTCATGGGTGCCACACCCAACTGCCCCGCCACTGCCACCGGGGTCCCATGTGGCTTCTGGCAAAATCTCACAGGACTCTCGCAAAATCTGGCCGGAAGCTGCAGTGACCCTGATAAGTGAGGCTTCAGCGGGGAGTACGGGGGACCATTTGCCCATTTTGCCTCTGGTGGCGAAATGGGTTGGGCTGCCCTTGCATGGGGTAGTCTTGGGTTTCCCATTCCCATGTGCTTTATTATAACAAACTCTAATAATCCATCTCTGCTTCTGTACAATCTGATCCTAAGATCATCCCAATACATTTTGGTCCCCGAGGCATAGAATTCAAATGCCACACACACACACACATTTCCACTAATAACATGGGGTGAATCCATTGCCACACAAACAGAACTCTTGCTTCTGTTTTTTTTTTTTAAATGGTATTTATTAAAGTTTCAAAAAATAGAAGAAATACAAAATACAGAAAAAAGAATAATTTTTTTAAAAATATAACAAAAAAGTAAAGGATAAAAAAGAAACATACAAAATAAAACAGTTAAAAAGACATTAATTTTCCAAACCTATCTTCCCTAGACTTATTTCCCCGGACCTCCTCATACCTCCCTTTTTTGTATTCCAGTTCAGTTTGTTAGTTCAGCAAATCCTTACCATTAAACTTTTGCCCAATTGTAAACCTTTTTTCATATCTCTTAAGGCATGACAGCTAAAAACCTCTTAGTTTCTATCCAACATCCTTCTAAGATTCCTTAATTTTACAATATTTCTGTAAATAGTCTTTAAATTTCTTCCAGTCTTCTTTCACCGACTCTTCTCCCTGGTCTCGGATTCTGCCAGTCATTTCCGCCAGTTCCATGTAGTCAATCACCTTCATCTGCCATTCTTCCAGAGTGGGTAAATCTTGTGTCTTCCAATACTTTGCGATGAGTATTCTTGCTGCTGTTGTAGCATACATAAAAAAGGTTCTGTCCTTCTTTGGCACCAATTGGCCGACAATGCCCAGAAGAAAGGCCTCTGGTTTCTTCAGAAAGGTGAACATTTCAATAATGAATTTTTGAAAGACAGACTAGGAAAGATGCAACTGATCTTCTGTCATTTTCATGATTACTTGCAGAAGTAAGAAATGTTTGGTTGATTCAGACACATGGACCTCCTGTGGCAGACAAAATTCTCAGCATGGCAGATTTTTAAAATAGGAAAGATCAAGTAGTATTGCCTCACATTTGTTTCTGGAATGCTACAGGTGATAAATAAACCACATTTTGCTGACTATTTGCAGTAGCTACATGGTGTGAATCTTTGTGGGGATATGTCCCAATTAATTATTCTCTTTGGCCCATTTCTAATAGTGCCAAATGCCATATGGAACCATTAAAATGTTAATTTACATTTACTATTGTAGGGAAATTTGCTGTGATATTGTGCAATTACTCAACTTATAGATAAGGCTAAATGGACCATAATTGAAACCACCTTTGAAGATGGTTAATGTTTCAGTCTTTGGTTTTAAAAGAGCTACCGTTCCAGAGAACTGTGAAAACTCTGTGAGTGGGCTGGTGGAGAGGAAAATTAAATACTAACCCCAAAATTTGGGATCTGTAGAATAGGTGGGTGGAGATGATAAAGGCCTTTCTCTGAAAACCTGGAGAAGATTAATCTTTTTTATTTATTTTTGGGTTCATCATCAGATCTCAGGGCGGTTCTTCCAAATACTGTTCCAAATGTCCTCAGACAAGCTCATTAAGCTCCTCTCTTAAATTAATATATAAATTCTTTCAATTTATATCGCCTTCCTTCCAAATCAACTGGTAAACTGGTATACATAGAAATGTTTCTCTGATTTCTTAACTATACAGTGGTACCTTGGTTTGCATACGTCTTGGTTTGCATATGTTTTGGATTAAAAACCCGTCAAACCTGGAAGTGCG